GACCCAAGACGTGATCGAAGAGCACCACGGCGACTCTGACGACAAAAGCCTTCCTCGAGCTGCGTCGTGATGTACAATCGGCGAGATTCTGTTCGAGGTGTCCTCACGCTCAGCGAGAGCCTGAAGTCGATAAGAGAATGGTCCAATTCTGGCTGCTTCAGCAAAGCTGCCGATCATCTCTACTGTATGAAGGGCCTTTCGCGGCGCTAGGAGACGTGCTCAGCTGGCCCGGCGGTCCACTCAGAACTGCTTGACTGGCCCTGGCCCAGCTGTATTGTCACATCGCATCACGCGGTGCGCGCAGGAGCACAGCGTGGACAGCACTACACGGTGGACGCAAAGCAATCAGCACAAATTGTGGTATTTGGTGCGAGCAGAAACTTCTTGTGAGAAAAAAGTCATGTACAATGGAGCGCTTGCAAGAATCACCGAGGCATTCGAGTTGGACCGCTTAGACCTCCGTATCGGGCTGTTCGCATACGCGATGTTCTGCAACGGACCTTCTCCGCAGTGCCAAACTTGTATGGCCTCACGTTGCCGTGAGCGGCATAAAGCTGCTTGCTAATACGCTTGCGCTTCACAGGCTTGTGTAAAAAAGAGGTCAATGCGGCAAGCTCCTTGGGCACGGAGCTGGCGCCCCACGTTGACAGAGTCTGGTCTGGGCGCCTGCGGGATTCGGATCGACCTAGACCCGGGCTGCTTCGCCGCGAGGTATGCCGAGCTCTGCCCTACCAAGGCTGCTTGTTGTAGCCGTCAGATGAAGTCGGTACTGCTGCGGGGGTTGCGACTGGCATGGATCCAGTGGCCACATTGCTTGTTGCGTTTGACCGCCTCGCGGGTGCTATGGCCGTCTGCTCGCCCGCTTGGGGCACCCGATGATACGCCGGTAATTCACTGGCTTCGTCTGGCAAAGGCAAGTCATTGACCATGGGAAAGCCAGGTGGACCATCGAACGGCGGGCCAGAGCCACCTTCGTGCGGCAGCTCGAAACCAGGAAGCTTCGCGGCAGCCCGTTCGCCCAAGACTGCCTGAGAGGCATGAGACCCTAGAGCGTCGATGTCTGAATTGCGAAGACCGACTGCACCCCAGCCGCACACCGTCCTGTCCCAACCGTTGCCAGTCCCGGCGATGGGCACCCGCAAGCGAAGCGCGTAGCTGTAGGAGAGATGATTGCTCGACATGGCCGGGATCACTTGAGGTAACAGATAGCCTCCAATCAGGGCCTCGCTTTTCCAAAAGTATTTTGGAACATCTATCCGTTTTGGTTGAGTCCAATGGAAACCAGGAATGTCTTCGTTCCCGCGAGTTCCCATCCAGCGCGCCGGAATGTGAGTCTCCTCTTCGGTGGTTTGAGTGTGCGATCCCAAAAGCGCATTCGTCTTCATGCGCACGTGACGCTGCATGGTGAAGCGCACAGGACCATCCAACTCGGCTTCTTTGGGGGGCCTAAGCTGTCCGGGTATGAGAGGCATTCGCGTCTTGACTGGGTCAAAGTCGGACTCGTTCTTGGCGTGCATCTTGAAGTGTAGGAAGAATGGCACTTGCGTGCAAGGCGTCACATTCACAGGCGGGGGCATGAGCAGCTGTCAGGAGAAGTCCTCCTTAGCGCTTGGAAGATTTTCTTTCGCCGGAGTCAGAGTGCGCTACCGACTGTCCGACTCACAATGACTTCCAAGGTGGCTTTCGTGATGA